GTCATCAACAATCTCTTCCATATTGCTGCAATCTGTCACTGAAATTTCTTGTAGATGGAGAAGCTGTCTGGCTATAGAGGAAGAGAACAAATTCTTTACCTTATGACAACATTCAATAGCAATAGTTCTTAAATTGTTAAAAGCTGTGTCTCTGAGCCGGCCTTGAAATATCTTCTCCAAATTAATCAAATTCTGGAGAACTAATTCTTCCAAGCTGGGAAATGCATTGAAAGGAACCCCCTCCACTGATTTAATGATATGTTGAACCTCTGGAGCATTATGGACATGGAGATACTTCAAATCTGGAAAACCTTCAGTATTTAACTCATCAACCACATTCTTTACACCTGCCAACTCCCTTAGATGTAGCTCTTCAGTCATCTTCAACAACATTTTAACTAAATAGTTAAAATTAATGGATGCATTTAAATGCAACTTCAGTATTTTTGAGCTTCCAAAGTAACCATACCAGCCTTCCCACCTACGTCCAATGAATATTTTGAATCTTTTCAAATTTTCAAAGAACAAATCTTTTGGGATCATCCGAGTATCAGGAATGCATACCTCTAAATTAGTCAATTTCTTCAAATGCTTCAACTCAGCAATGCTCGCATTTCTTTGATTTTCATTTTCCTCAACTTCCCATCCGTCGAAGCTGTTTCCCAGGTACAGTTCCTCTAATCTGGACATATTTGCCAAGACACATGGGGGAATTATTTTGAGTTTAGCACAGTCACTCAAATCTAATAACTTTAGCCGAGTCAGCTGCCCAATCTCCCCTGGAAGCTCTTCAAAATCAGACCCCCTAAGGGTAAGACTTTCTAAATTCTTCAGCTCTCCAATAATACGTATGTCCCCCAACACGCTCCAATACAAACAAAATGTATGCAGATTCTTTAAGAAGCTAATCGATGAAGGCAGGGATGTCATATGCATTTTAGTCAAATCCAATACCTTCAGTCTTTGCATTCCCTTGAAAAAGTCTGCTGGAATTTTCAGAGAAGTATCTTTATTATTCAAACAAAAAAAAGTAAGCAGAGGAGTTTCAAACTCATCAGGAAGCTCATTAATATTAGCCTTTTCCAGCCAAATCCATTTGAAATCTTTCATTGCCTCCATGTCTAACCACTCTCTCGGTGCATGATCACCTGTTACCAGCAACCCATGACGATTCCTACTTGCGATTGATACAGCCACACCCTGAGCAAGGTCATGCATATCAAAATGATCATTGTCATAATCATCAATGAGCAAAGAAGCGGCTTTGAGCTTGCTTATCAAAGTAAATACTTCATCTCGTGCTTCCTCTATGGTGTTAGCAAATAAGCCTAAGCCTACACCATACTTCAACAAGTCTTGAATTGAAGCCTTGTGACCCATTAGGCAGCAAAGCAAAAATGTTTTCTTGAGCTTCTCATTTTCCAAACTAGAGTAACTGACCTCAATAGCTGAATAAACCTCTGCAGGTATGTCATGGAAGTTTTCCGAAGAGGGCTTTCTTAGTTTTCTCAAAGCATCCCTCCATTGGTAAGGCTCCTTATTTTTCAAAGCCTTTGCCATTGTTGTAATTGCAAGGGGCAAGCCCCCACATTCCCGGACAATCTCAATGGCCGTATCGTGTAGCCCCTTACTCTCAGCTCTGTCACCAACTATCTTTTTAAGCAACTCCCATGCTTCTCCAGATTCTAATTGATGAAGTGAGAAGTTCAGTGGAGAATCCATCAGATCTGATAAAACATCAGAATCTCTGGATGTCAGCAGAATTTTGCATTCTACATGTTCTTCTCTTGACGAGCTCCCCTCAATCTCTTTTGGCTCGTTTCTAAGAGGAATTCCAAGCTCCTCCAAATCTATTCCAGGCCTCCAAATATCATCCAAAATGATTAAAACTTTCTTCATTTTCTTCAGCCTCTCTTTAATACGTTCAGCCGCATCCTGAGTTGTAATTTCATTAGGAAGCTGATCTAGACCCAAGCCACGGGCAATTTCCTCTTGAATCTTTTTCGAGTCTGCCTTCTTTGAAACAAGAGCCATAACTACCACATCGAACAGCTTCTCTTGCTCTGCTTTTCTTTTTATTTCTTTGGCCAGCATCGTCTTCCCCACGCCAGGCATCCCGTGCACCCCTATAATGCTGCTGCTTCGACTCTGCAGTGCCTCCATGATCCTCTCCAGAACATCCTTTCTTGAGTAAAAGTCCTCAAAACCTTTGACAGGCGCGGCCACTTCTTTTGGTGAAGCATGAATGTGGGAAAGTGGGAGGTCGAATTCACGAGCTTTATTCACAAGATCAACAATAACCTCAGAATTCTCCTTAGCTTTTTTGCTGAGTTGGTAACGAGATTTGGGATTGAGACACAGCCCAAAGAAACACTTCTTCTTGGCATTTCCTTCAGCATCAGGTACTAATTTCTCTGCAGCATCAGGTACTAATTTCTCCGCAGCTTCAATGCAATTGTTGGCCCTGGTCAGCCAATTCCTGAGCTCTGGTATAATCTCTTCCCCTCTTCTCTCAACAGTTTCATCATACTTCTTCGCAGTCTCTCTCTTATTCTTCAGCTCAGCAACTTTGTTCTTCAAATAGTCAACATTATTGTCGCACTTGATCACAAGAATAATTGGCTTTGAGATAAGAGTGAAAATTCCACTAAACAAGTTCCCAACAAAATTTCCAGCAGCATTCTGACAAACCGCACAAAGACAAGGCTCGGCCATCGTCTAATTCTTTTTTTTCTTTTTCTTTTTTCTTTTTTTGGAGTTTGGAAAAATATATAGGTGCCAAACAGGAATAAAGACACAAGGAACAAAAGAAGCAAATGAATCAGATGAGGATATGAAACAAAAGATGAGAATAGTGAAAATAAGCTGATTTTTAGTAAAGGGAGGCAAAATGAGGTGCAGAGAGTAGCGAAGAAGGATGGATCTGCAAACAATGGAGGTAACGAGTTGGGATCAAATCAAATCAAAAGAAACGGTGAGAAATGAGAAACGTGTGAGGACGAGGTGATCTGTGTAAAGGGGTGTGAAGATGCGGTGCAGAGCGTAGCAGCAGAAGACGATGGAAAGAAGGATTGAACAGAGAAAATGAAGGAAACAAGTTGAGAGGAAAGCAAATCAAATGAAATGGTGACGAAACTAGGACTGAAAAGAGGGATCGATTGGGCAAAAGCATAGCATGAGAGCAATCATGGTGATACCGAATGATTTGTTTTGGGGAAAACCCTCGAATCCGCCCGCCTGAATAGGTGGGGAGGAACAGATTTGTTAATTAAAAAAAGAGCCGTGCTAGCGGCACTCGCTTTGTGCACTCTCCGGCCAACACTTCCCTTTTCATTGGGCCACGTAAGCTTCTTTAAAGCTTTCAGCGCAACCTCTCGGTAACCAAAATAACGTGGCCCAATAAAAGAAAAAGTGTTGGCCGAAGAGTGCAGGAGGCGAGTGCCCCTAGCATTTCTCTTAAAAAATTATACAGATAAATTATTTTTTTTAATTATTAATTAAATAAATCACTTTTTTTTACATATAATATCATGGCAAAACCATAAGTTAAGCCCCTGAACCAACCCCAGAATCGCTATTAAGCCCCTAGACTGTAATTGATGCATATAAGCCCTCGAAACTCGGGGATCAAAGCAATTAAGCCCTTCTTCTTACGCCAACTTAA